GGTAGCTGTGTCAGTGGCATTCATGAACAGCTCTAAGTCAGGTGCATATGGGACAGCCCTGTGAACAGGGAAAAGGGGTTTTGGATTTCAAGGGAAGGGTTGTAGAAGACAGGGCCAAATTTAGAGTCATCTCTCTTCCTCTCAATTTAAACCTCAGCAGCCCAGCGGCATGTTACAGTGATTCCATGCAGGCAGTTTTCCATCTTTCCTGACACTGTGTAGTAACGGGGAGAGACTGTTTGATTTGTGTTGTAAGGTCCTCAGGAGTAGGGGATTTATCTTATTTACTGGGATATGAGGTGTGATACACATTTGAAGTTGCTATATAAATTGCAAGCCACTGAGCAGAGTGAAAAGATACATTTACCAATGTCACTGTTGCTTAAGCTTTGTTGAATTAAATCTGAGAGACAGTTGTTATTATTACTACTGAATAGTTAACTATGCATTGCAGTAGAAAGCAGTGATATGAATGACAGTCGTCTTTCTTTTTTCAGTTCGGGTGAAAGAAATAGTAATATGCTGGCTTGGAGATTTTTCATACTTTCAAAATGCATTTCAAGACCTATTTCTCACTTATTAAAAATATCTTTTTGGAACTCTCTCAACATTACTCAGTCTTAAAAAACTGCCTTTCAGTCAGTAGCATATGACTGACTTCTAACCAGTTCATTTTGGGATGTAATATTGCAACTGGATTAGACCTATCAAGATACAAAAGGGTTTTGTTTAGTTTTAACTAAGCACCATAACTTTTTTTTTTCTTTTCTCATCAATAATAATGCGTGTTGGTGAGATTAGTATGTAGTCAAATTTGAATGCTTAAATCAGCCTCTATTTCCACATTTGACAATTTGGATTAATACAAATAGATGAAAAGATGCCCAAGTGTTGGTCTGAGACTTGTTTTAAACTCACTTATATAAGTAGCCAGACAAACAGCACTGAAAACTGCAGTTGTCTGTTATATTTTCTGTAGGCATGGTATTTATTTCTATGACTATAACACAGTGTAGATAACATGAAGAGTGTTACTCCAAGATGGGTGGTCTATATTTCCAGTATCCAAATTGAGGAGCCTTCTAGGAACATACTCCTTCCTCAATGCGTGGCTAAAGTGATAGTGTTTTTGTTGTAAAATTTTTACTGTAATGTCTAATTTAGCGTGTTCTCACTTGCCAGCTTTGGGTATGCTTCAATCCCAAGTGAATTTTATTTGGTTAATAATTCTGCTCGCTTACAGTTTTCAATAGGATTTCAGGTTTCAGTGTTATAGGTCTTCTTTCCCCTGGTGCTCTTTAACCTCATTCTGGTATAAAGCACCAGCACCACATGGCATGTGTGCTTTTGTGGTGTCGTTCCTGGGTAAAGCAGAGCTCTCTGAACTCTCTGCTGCTCTGTGACCTTGTTTTAGATTAGCAGATCATGTGTCAAACCTGTGTTGTGGCATTCATTATGCTGGACGTAGCAGGAAGAAATTACTGACAATGATCACTTTGGAATATATAATTCTGTACCAAACACACTACCAAAAGAAAAGCAAGCCTACCTCTGGACATTTTTTTTCTAAATTAGTATATAATTCCACATGGAAAAAAGCATCACTTCTCATGCAGCCTGCCGAGTGTGATTTCATAATAAGGTTTCATCGCAGTGTGTATTGCTATAATAGGCTATAGTAGCTTTTCTTCTAGCCCATAGAGTCCTTGTCCTACATTTTCAAGAACTTCTATTGATTTTTAGGTGACCAATTTCAGACCTCTTAAAGAACTTGATTTTTTTTTCAGAAAGCACTGAGTACCAAGGCACTACAAATAGAGCTCATAAAATGTCACATGTCAAATTGGTCACCTTAAAATCAAGGCATCCAGCATTACCAGTCGCTTTAAAATTTAGATTCTAGACTTAGGCTTTTATCTCTAACCTTTCCCTTGGCAATTGTAGATCTTAGTCAAAAGTTGCTTCAGTTCCCTTCAGCATCTGAAAAAAACATCTCTTCTCACTCTAGGATAAAAGGAGGAATAGTGAAAACATCAGTTAAAATACTGCTTCTTCTGTGGACTTCCTGTACAAATTTAGTCAAATAATTTATTCAACTTGTTCCTTGACTTTCTATTTTTCAAGCAAACCTAAAGCTTTACTGCTACACAGAAGTGTTCTGAAGATGTATTTTAATGCCTTGCAAAGCTGAGATGGTGTGGACATGAATGGAAAGTATATAGACATTGTTTATGACTCCATCAGTATGGGAATATTTCCTAAAACCCTCTCCCCTCTACTCCCAGTTTCTCAGATGGACTCGCCTCCCTTGGCTGGTACTTATTCTCAGAGGGAAGCTGGAGGGCATAGGTGTCATTAAGAAGGAAAGCCACTGCAATATTTAGGGATTTGGGGAAGGAATATGGGGGAAGCCAGTTGAAGTCTTACTAAGTTGTATTTTGCCATACCTTCTACCAGGGGGAGAACGTCTTAAGCTTAGAGTGTCGTTTTAAGGCACTGCCAACAAAATATGGCAATTCTGCAATCTGCAGCACAGGTTACAAGTTACATTTGAACCTGAGAGGTGTCAGAGCTCAGTTTTGATCTAGATCAAAACTTCCTTTGTTTGAACTGTTGAGATGTGGGAGGGAGGGCAGGGACGGTTCTTTCTTTTTTATATCAAGGTCTCCTATGAGGACTTAAGGGGAGTCCACATCACATGCAGATATACTGAACTAAGTTTTATTCTTACATTCTAGGTGGGTAAATTGAGAGAGAAAATACAAGAAGTTAAGCAAGAAAGAGAGCAGGAGCAACACAAGCACACTGCTTACATCTCGGAGCTGAAGGCAAAGCTCCACGAAGAGAAAATGAAGGAACTCCAGGCTGTCCGGGAGGCACTTATCCGGCAGCATGAGCAGGAAGTAGCTCGAATGGGAAAAATCAAAGATGGTGAAATTCACCGTTTGCAGTCTACAGTGAATGTGCTGCGGGATGGGGCTGCCGACAAAGTGAAAACGGCATTGCTCAATGAAGCCAAAGAGGAGGCTCGAAAAGCATTTGATAATGAACGTATGAAGATGCAGCAGGAGGTCTTAGAGCTCAAGTCTGGTAAAAAGCAACTTGAAGAAGCTTTGAACAATATTATGCAGGCAGATAAGATGAAGGCTGCTGACTTGCGCACAGCTTATCAATCCCATCAGGACGAGATTAATAGAATAAAGCGTGAATGTGAGAGGGATATCCGCAGGCTGGTAAGTTAATTAACAATACATTTAGTTCAATTTACAGCAGCTATGAAAATGTACTGCACTGTTTGGGAAAAGATTTGTCCCTTTTGCGGTGGCATTTCTGTTCCTATAATAAACCTCTTTTCCTACTTCTCACTGTTCTGGTGGTCCAGAGGTGTATTGGCTCCATGACCAACCATACCCAAATCCATCCAAATCCATGACATTTTTTCTATCAAATAAAAGTATGGAAGAACTAAACCAGATCAGATTCCCTTTACTGATTTGATTTTGTAAAATGGAACTTCCTCTTCCTTTTTACCTAACACATCTTTCCATACAAGACATACTTTATCGAAAGGTTCAAGATGTGTTCACTGTGCAGAGCAAGCGTTTCTCTGGATATGCTGGCTATTGCAAAAGCATGTTTTATTACCTTCATGGGGGTGGGGAGCAGGGGGAGAGATGCTCTTTTTCCAAGGTATTGTTCAAGTTGCTCACTTTCTGGAAAAAACAGGCATCATTATCCATTTTCATTTTGTTCTGATACTTGTCCAAAGGGCAAAGAAGTTAGCTTGGGCCCAGAAGAACAGCTTGTGTTCTCCCTTTATTAACATTATGATTTATAATAGTTTTCAGCTTTCACCTTAAGAACAATACAAAGGAAAAACTAGAGTATATGTACAACTTTCTGTAGTGTGTGTGTATATATATCCAGATCACTACATTTTACAATCAGTATGCTGTGGTGTTTAAGGTAACTATACACAAGTAGATTTATAGTAATAGATCATGAAAACAAAGAGCATGGCCTTTTGATATTTACAAGTATTTTCAAGATTTGGTTACTAATCTGAATAAATCAGAAGTAAGGTCAAAATAAAAATAAGAAGAAAAATACAATTTTAATATGAAATAATCTCCCTTTTAATATTTCTTTTTAATATTAAGGAAATTATGTACCTTGTGCCAAGAGGACTAGACTTGGAATGGACTAAAACACAAGAAGAGTTTAAGCCAAAATATTTAGTCAGTCTGTAAATATATAGTCAAATTCTTTTTTTTTTTTCTTTTTTCCTGCTCCATTGGTGAATGATCACCAAAGATGCTGGATGTTAACCAGCATTTTACAGATTTAGTTACAATTTAAGTTGCATACATGTATAGGTTTATACGTTCCTGTTCAAAAATTTCTGTTCATATTTCTGCAAATTAAAGGGTTTCCTTTGCCAGTTCATCAACCTATTTTAAATATGGATTTAAACCTCCAGATTTACAGTTGTACTAATAGTTATTTCTGCTTTTCTAAGTCTTCCTCAGCAGACCCAAATACAGCTTATGCTGGTACTGGAGATATGTAATATAAATCTGATCAAATCTATAGAAAAAATATCTCTATTGTTTATAGAGCATACTTTTACTATAATTAGTATGTATAACATTTTACTAATCTTTTCAAATAGTTTGAAAATAGTGATTGCAGTACATTTTAACTGTTCTTGCTTTGTGTCTCAATTAAAGTGGTTGTGTGTGAAGCTTTAAAAAAAAATACTTGCACATTTTATCATAAATTAACTTTTGCAACCAAACACGTGGTGAATTTTATAGAACATTTCTGTTGGCAACATGAAAATGAAAAGAGATTATCATTAGCATACTATATTAGTTGAAAGAAACAAATAAAATTTCATTCTGAGACACAGCTGCTATATGGCCATAATTAATAAGGCAAACTCTTCTAAGCCTTATGTGCTGAAAGAAATAATAGGTGCTTCATGTTGCTGCATGAGAAAATAATGCAAGAGGTAATCATTATAAGTACATTAAATTTATTTTTCCTACTTGTTTGCTTACTTATATATCAGCTCAGTAAGAAGGGAGCAGATCATTTATTTATGGAATAACTTGCATACATTTTGGGACAAGCTTATGCTTACCATTTGTTTGTTATTCCACCTGTGTACGAGGGGTGATCAAAAAGTTCTAAACTTAGCCTTTATTTTAAAGAATAGTGTACAAACAACATTTTTATGAGCTGTACTTGAATCCAAGGCATGGAGCTTTTCCCCCTCTTGTTAAATATGTGTGTGCAGGGGGGGGGACCTTTGTTTTGGATTCAAGTAAATATGGTATTTGACTCTGGCTTAAAAATGGTATTTAAAGCTTTTCTTTTTAGGAATTGGCTTATAGGTGTGTGTGTGTGTATTGGGGGTGTGCAAAGTGGAATGTATTCAATTTGATTTGGCCTGATTAGGGGGACAGTGATTTGATTTGTTGATTCAGGTCACTGCCCTGATTTGACTTAGCTGAATCTGAATCTGAAGATTTGATGCTGATTCGGAGAATCTGTGATTCAGCCATAGACACAGCTTTAAATATTTTTTCTACATACCTCGAAGTACCAGGTGTGGCTCGTGAGCGCTGCCATGCTGGGGCAGATGGAGCATCCCACAGGAGTTGGGGGGGAGGGTGGCACGTGCTCAGTGGCAGACCCAGAAGTGGACTGGAAGTACTTCCGTCCTGCTTCCGGGTCTGCCACTGGGCACACGGGGGGAACCCCACCCTGGCTCAGCGATCTGCTGCAGGGGTGCCGTGGGTTCCCCCCCAGACCCAGGAGTCACCAGTCACTGAGCTGGGGGGAGGGGAGAGGGGTTCCCCCGTGCACTCCACAGTGGACCCAGAAGTGGACTGGAAGTGCTTCTGCTCGACTTCCAGGTCCACCGCCGAGCACGCTGTGCCTGTGGGACACTCCATCCACCCCAGCATCTCAGCATTCACGAGCTACCTGGTACCCTGAGGTATGTCAAAAAAAAGTTTAAAGCTGTGTCTATGTCCAAATCATTGACTCTCTCCAAATTGATTCGGAGGGTTCCGATTCAATTTGGAGAGATTGAAGGGTCTCCTGATTCGATTCAGATTTGGAGATTCGGCCGCTGAATCGTGCTGAATTTCTTCTGAATTGAATCAGTGACTGAAGCTTTGCATATATACATGTATGCACACACTAATATATATATATATAATATAAAAAGTGTGTGCGTGTGTGTGTATCTATAATATATATGTATTAGAATGTTCAGGACAGGTAGCAGGGGTTAATTGATTTCTAAAAGCCTGGGTCTCACATGCACAGTTTTCTGAGCCTTCAGAAGCAGACAGGCTGTCTAAAACATAGCAAGGCCAACAGATACTCGCACAGCCTGGGACAGTGAGGGCATTTACCACGCTGTTCCATAACATGATATAAGGTGGCACCATCTTGCAAGGGCCCAGACTAGGGGCCTGGAGTTTTCCAGTTTTGGGAGATCAGACCAAATTAGGTGGATACCAGTAAAGCCGGAAATTAGGATGTGGGCATGTGGTAGGCTTATGAAAATGGGATTTTGGCTGACAACACATGTGGAGAATATGACAACCACACAGAGAGACCAACTGGTGATTGCCATGGATGAAGTGTCATCAGGAGGGAAGGAGAATACAAAAGCAGAGACTTGAGAGTAACAAAGGGTCCTCCTTCTCCCTGTCCTCCTCCCCAAGAAGGTCCCTGACAGGGGTCCCTGTCCCCATCCCCCAGGAAGGGTTCCCAAGGCCACCATGGACAGAGGGCACACCACTAGCCCATCTCATCCACCCCACTGGAGGGGGCAGGGTGTGGGTCTCAGCATCCCACCTTCAGGGGGATCTGACACTTAAGAGAGCGCCTTAGAGTGAAGCTTCCAGACATTTCTCGACTCTGACAGCCCTAGAATCATAGATATATAGAATTGTTTGACTGTTTGCATTGTTTCTTTTCTGTTATCACTGGGTATCAATATGTTTGCCTTTTATTGAATGGAGAGGTCATGGTCAGTCTGAGGGTGGGTGGCTGCCCTCCTCCCCCCCC